GATCGAGGTTGATTTAAGAGCCACTCCTCATTAATTAGTACCCTGTCCAGTTTTTTATGAATCAACCCATCACTCCTCTTGTTGCTCCAGGTAAACCACGGTCCGTTAAAACCCATATCGACCAACGAACAATGGCGAGTAACTTCCTGGAAATCCTGCGAACTCTGCATATCAACTGTCGCCAAACCAGAGTTTGAATGGTCCCAACTACTCAATATTTCGTTAAAGTCGCCACACAACATCCATTTCTTGTCTTTGCAGCTATTTGAATCATGCAACTGTTTGATCTCCTCCCAAAGAGCTTTACGCTCTGCAGCAAAGTTCAATGCGTAAATGAAAGAACAGATGATATCATCTGGTTGACCATCCATCGAAATCAAGCAGGATATCATTTGCGCACTCTTACTAATCACCAATAAACGCACATCCTTGTGCCACATCACCCATATCCGTCCCAATCTATTGAATTCGTAGTTAGAGACAGTAGACCAGTTCGGAAAAACAGACGAAGCTATCCGCAGATAACGACTTTCCTTTACACGAGTTTCTAAAATACAGCCAAAAAGACAAGAGTTCCCACGCACCCAGTCGCGGACCACCGAGTGCTTACAACGTTTGTTAAAACCGCGAATATTCCAAAAGAAACCTGTCATTGGGAATGGTTTCTTTGGTTATTCCTCTTCTTCTGCTCCCGCAATTTACAACCAGCAGTCGTAGATCGTGTATCTGGACCAGTGACAAATCTGTGTGCGGTTTTTGCTGCGCGGTGCAGAGATGTTCTGTTCCCATCCTGTCTAATTTCATTAACCACCCCATCCTCCCTCAAGTTCGAGCTGTGTCCTGGATCTCCAATAACTCCGTCCTCTGTTTCTTTGCTGCATTCAACTGCAACAGTATCGCCAGCATTTACTTCTTGCAGATCTGTTACTACTTCGGTTTCGTCATTGTCACTCATCCTTCCCAAAATGTCATAACGAGAGGCAGAGGAAAAAACCTCAGTACTTGCGTCCATCGCCTGTGATTTCCAAGAAGATTTCACCGGCGAAATCCACTGATTCTCACTAGTCGTAGCATCCCCTTTTTGTATTTCTTTCCCTGATTCCCTTGCCGGTTTAGTTGCAGGGGCCATCTCCTTGGTAGAGTTTGCGAGCCGGTTCGATTCCTTTCCCTTTTGTTTCGTCACAGATGTCAAAAGGTTTGTCAGAGCTTTGTCAACATGCACAACTGTATTCTTATATTTCGAGCTTGTGCCAGTTTTTGATTGAGGTGTTGCTAACCCCTCCTCAACTCCAGTCTTTTTACCTTTTAAGGAAGAGTCTGATGGTGAACTATTCCTTTGGAGGATCTTCTTCGACCCATACTCAGTTTTACACTCCTCTGCATTATGACCCCATCCTTCACACACTGAACAACATGTGGGAAGCCACGGAAAGTCATACTCAATATCAACATTCTCCCCATTCACTTCGAAACAGTGAATTTTTGGTAGACTCTTCGTCAAGTCCACCTCCACAAAAAGCTTTGCAACATCGAAATCTTTCACCCAAATCGTGTCTGGGTGCAGCTGTTTTGGAACTCCCACGGGGCTGTCCAGGTAACTTAGCCCCTTCTAATTATACATGTTTCTTGGAACATTTTTCAGAAGAACCCATAAAGGTATGGATTTCATTACCGGCTGAGCCTCCTCTGCTAATGGACTCCACTTGGACACCAGCATTGGAATGCCTTTTATATTCCACATTTTGCGTCTTAACACCCTTTCACTTACACTTTTGTCTGCAATACGAAAATTTACGGTTGTTTCATTCACCACAAAGACATCAACTTTGATCGTCTTGTTTCCCAATGACCAGATCTTATTCACCGTCATGTGAATGGATCCAACGTGGGGAGCAGATTTGAGGAATTTTCCGAGGACACAATCCTCCCACAAAGGGGGTTCAACCAGGATATCTTCCGGAACTGGGAAAACCTTTACACCGTCAATCTCTTCTTCCCTTAAATCGTACTTCTGCAGAACCTCTTTCTTCTTAACCACATATGTCCATTGTTTTGTTGCTTCCACCGATTGAGTCTTTTCTTTGACAACAGCTGTTTCCCCTCGTTCCACCATAGCCTCCGAAATCACCACCTCCTGTTACTCGTGCCCTGCTCCGCAAGTTTCAGCGCCCGAGTTAATTGCAGTACCACCCTCCATCGCTTCAAGGACCTTCACTGCTTCGATTTGAGATTTCACCGCTGCTACCACGACCTCCGATGATGATTCCCTCTCCTCTGGTGTCAGAGGGACCTCCTGTCCCAGCGCCGCCTTGCCTTCCATGCCCTAGCTTGGGCAGGAAGATGAAAACCCTAAGTCGCCTTTTCGATCGCCCTAGATGCTGATGTGGCTTTTCAAAAGACTTCTTTTTTCCTTCCACTGACCCGGAAGATTACTAAAGTCTTTACAAACAAATTTGATGGTCCCTTCTGTAGCTGGAAATGTGTGCCTCATGACAGACAAGAGAGATACTTTGTTGAATTTGCGGTAATGTTATCTACTTTCATTTATAAATGTTTATTGATAACTAAAATCATCTTCTCTCTAGTTCTTGTGTTTTTGTCACAGACATCATCTATTTCTCTGTTTTATTGTAGGAAACCCACACCTGGGATCCATTAATAACCGGTGTGGTTCAAGCGAAGTTCAAGAGTAAATGTAAAAGCGGATGAAAGATATGGTCAGCACCGTAAGGACTTCACGAGAGCAACCAAACTGGATTGGCAATACACTCTAGAGACAGATGACTGCGTATTGTGACACAGAAGAAGCCAAAGAGAAGAGTGCAACCACATCACCAGCTCGGATGTCTGAACGTGGCGGTCTAGGTCCTCACGTCCACTTATCAGGGCAGAAGTCCTATCTACAAATCCAACAAGAAATGGTAAGTTTATCTGTTTCGTTTAGTATTTAATCATTAAACGTTTGAGTCTTGGGAAGAAGAATTTTGCTTAGTCATTAACCTTTTTTGTTATCATTTCAGGAAGATCGGTGAGTCTTGGTGAAGTTTTCTTGAAGACTCATATAAAAAATGGTATTTATGTTGATGGGAAGGCGCAGAGAGTAGCTGAAACATATAAGAAGAACTTGCAAGCAAAGTTGTCTGCACTAGGGACCAAAAACTCAGAGACTTCAGAGCTATCCGTAGAAGACGAGAATGAGCTATTTCTTCAGGTATGGTTATGGTTTTTTTCTCCAATTAGTGTGTTGTAACATAGTTTGAGTTTTCGGGTTCAATTTGAATGACTCTTTCTTTTGTATCCGCAGTCCACTATCATGAGTGAAAAAGGAGTTCCTTATAGAGTTGGAAGCCTCTCACAATCACATGTTAACGGAAAACAGAAGTATCTAGGAAGCTCCTCAGCATACAACAGTCTGCATGAACAGCTACAACAATCTCAACGACAAATAGAAGAACAAGTGGCTGAGAATGCAAGACGTGAAGCAGAGTTTATCAAAGCTTCAACTGCACAACAAACCAAGATCGATAAACTCACACTGGTTGAAAGGTATTTAACTGACACTGATCCTAGGTTCTTGGACTTTTTGGCTACACAGTCTTCATCGAATCCACAAACTGCTGATCCTGGCTCTTCACCGAATCCACAAACTGCTGCTCCGGGCTCTTTACCAAATCCAAACACTCATCTCACCTTAGAAGCGTAGGTTCTTCTAGGTCTCTTCTCTCTTTTTATGTCTGTCGTCTGATGTTGGTTGTGGTCTCTCATCTTTTCTAGCTTCTTTTTGAACTTATCTCCAATGATTGTATATGGTACCATTGGAGTTTTTTTGTTTTGTGAACAATTTATGAATTTGTAAATTAAATGTTTCATATGCTTTTACAATTCAAAATATTTTTTTTTACTTGTTTCTGAATTCAGGTCACAATTGTATTCACATTAGCATTAGCAATGTCAAATTGTAATTCCGCTGTCAATAATAGTCACAACTCAATCATAATTCAGTCATCAATTAGTCGTGATTTAGTCACAACCCTGTCGTAAAATGGTAACAATTTACTATTCAACATACGTAAAAACTCACTATTCAGTCGTTACCTCATCGCTAAAGAAGTCACAAAACAGTCGTAAACTAGTAGTTGAATTTAACGACTGATTCACTACTATTTGTTGATGACTCTGGTACGACTACAAAGCATTCGCACAATGGTGGTAAATGTAGTCGTACGACAGTCGTTACATTTAACGACGAACTTACTGTTACCCATTGACAAAGACTTAGTCGTTAATCAGTCGTAATTTGGCAACTAAGTTACCACTGCCTTAATTTGCGACGAGGAATTACCGACAAATAGATTCAGTCGTAAATCCCTGTTTTCTTGTAGTAGTGTCTCTGACAGATTTCAAATGCCAAACAGATACAGCGTAGAGAGAAGAGCAGAAGGCGAGCCTTGGTCGGACCCTGGAATCAGCAAGATCTTCGATGCTTCTCTCAAGTTGCTACTTTTGTCAACTATCCTCTTATGGCTGAATGAATGGTGATACGTGCAACTCTCTATCAAGCTGCTGCTGAAGATATAAGGACTATTTTGGTTGATTCCGACTCTTTACAGATATAAGAGCCATCAACTCAGGCTCTTATGTTTCAGAGTTTAGATGATATCTCTTTTCTCACCAATTGTTTTTATTACACTTCTTTTAATTTTATCCCAAGACTATCTAATATTGTAGCTGACTTTGTATACTGGATCAGCAATTTCTTTTCTATTTGATTAATGAAGTATGTGGTTGTTCAAAAAAAAAAAAAAGGAAGTATATAACATACATTTTTTCTGAACCATATAACATTGTAATCACATAACTTTAGACATTTCCGCACTTTGTGAATCTTAAGACAAAATGTTGCATTTGATATTCAATCGAGGAAGAACACAATGATTAGTGCTTATTGTGCCGAAATATTACAATTTATTGGTGAACGAAATGAAAATCGTAAGCTAGAATGGAAATGATGATAACATATCGAGGTGAATAGCAAAAAAACAAAAGTTGATAAACATATTGAAAATATTGAGAAACTTGGAAGAACTTCTTGATTTATCAAAAAGAAACAAGAGACATGAACTCTTCATCTGATTCTAAAGCTTCCATAAACTCTGGAACAAGACATAACTCCAAATCTATGCTTCTCTCTCCTTCTCTTCCTGGGTAAGCCGATACTTTCCCATCAAACTTATGCGCATAGCCACTTCTGAGCGTCACTGCCTTTCCCATCCCAAATTCACAACCATACTTGTTGAACCTTGGCGAACTTCCCATCATAACGCTCATCGGTTCAAAAAGGCGATCAATCTGGTAAATAAAAGGAGCCTTCAACCATTGATCAATCATTTGAGATACCTTTTCACTAGTATGTTCAGCTACTGCTTGATGCACTTTCAAAGCAGCCCATCCAAGATCATTCTCCAATAACTCACCTGCTTTTGCTGCTGTTCTTAAAGCAGAGAGGCAGTTTCCAAAGTAATCCCGGGGAAGCGGTGGATACATCCTTGCTCTGTTGTCAGCAGCAAGTCTACAACTTGTTTCTCGCTCGAGGGGTAATCTTCGCGCCCGAGTTATACATCTCCATATAAACGCGGTTAGGGATTGGAAAGAGGAGATTGAGGTTGTTCCACATATTTGGTTAACCTTTGCTTTAAGCAATCTTATTGTTTCTGATGAGAAACAGAATACTCTCTCCTTGAGAATCGGAGATTCGTAAGGTCTGATAAATTCATCAGGATGACTATATGGAATGCTGAAGAGAGGACCGTATCCTTCAGGGATATAACGCTTCAAAACCGGTGGGTTCTTAAGACACAAGTCATCGGTCTTGTTCCTCTCTTGTGTTTGGAATATATCAGACAAACCCGTAAAGAAGTTCCAAAACGAAGTACCGTCTCCCATTGCGTGATTCATCGACACTCCTATGAAAATTCCATCTACCAATTCTGTCACCTACACATATATTAAATACTCATAATTTAGTAATGAAGGTTCTCGTAACTGTATTCATACCAAAGAACCAAACCGAGAAATAATAAACAGATTTATAAATCCACTTAAGTGTATTTTATTGAAACCAGTATTCAAGAATTAAGCACTAAGCTGGCAGCAACTCTCCAACTAACGCATAAACTATTTAAATAGTGCATAGACATTTATAGAGTAAACAATATACATATATAAATTATCTAATGTAAAACAAATACAAAAACATGATTTATAAACAGTAGAATCTATAAAGTATCATATCATATAAGATAGAATGTTTTGAAGTTAGTCTTGATCACGAAAAAATATCATGTCACTCGATCAGATTTTGACATATATTTAATAAATTTTAATTAAGGTTTGATACATAATATTAACAATAAAAAGAGAAAAAATATAATCTAGACTTATCTTAAAAAATAAGGTTATCAAACAAAAATTATAAATTACGAAATAGTGTATAAGAGAAAAAAGTTAAAATTCTGAAAAAGAGAAAAAATAACGTATGTATAGATTCTAAAGACCAAAGTGTTTTAATATTTTTTTTTAAAGAATAAGAAAATTAAATAATAGAATAAAATCCTAAAAAGGAAAGTAAAGAAAAAATTAACAAAAATTTATCCTTAAAGCTAAATTTTTTAAAACAGAAAAAAACAATTAATTTTTCTGTTTAGATTAAAAAAATAAAAAAATAAAATATAATCCAAAAAAGAAAAAGCATTATAATTCCTCACATCTATATAAATATTACTATTTGATAGCTTATCAATTTCACAAAAATATTTTTTTTGTCAGTAAACTATTTTGTCCATAAGTTACACCGGTTTGGTTATCTCAACTAGAGGTAATATTCTGTCTAATAGAAGTCATGGTTACGTAAAGAGAAATCAGATTGAATAATTCATTTTACATACAATTTTATTAATATTCAAAGAATAGTTAGTGAACAAAATAGTCACGTGAAGTTAATGTTACCTACTTACATTATTTATTTTGTATTTTTCTAATTTAACTTTAGAAATACTAGGTGAATACCCGCACGTAACGTGCAGGTTTCTTTCTTCAACTATTTCAAATTTATATATTTTGTATTTTCTTAAAAAAAATATAAACATTATTTGTTATGTGTTAGTATATTATTATAAATCAATCAATTTAAAATACAATATCATTAAAAATCAAGAGTTAATATTTACATAAATTCTTGTTTAATTATCTATCAATATATTTAATTAATTATAACATACTTGTTTAATATTTATATAAATATTATTTAAAAATCAATTAATAGATATTTTTTGAGTAGTTTAAAATTTAATATTAAAATCTATTAATTAATTTTCTTTTTTTAAAACTGTAATTTTAAATAGATTTTTTCTTCAACTATTTCAAATTTATATATTTTTATAATTTTTTTTTAAAATGATCATCATTTGTTAATATTTTATTATAAATCAATTAATTTAAAATATAATATCATTAAAAATCAAGAAGTTATTAAAAACATCAATTTTTAATTAATTATAACATAAATTCTTGTTTAATATTTACATAAATGTTATTTAAGATTTTTAAAAAACTTTTCATTTTCTTTGAGTGATTTAACACTTAAAATTTATTAATTAATTTTCTTTAAAATGACACATGTCATTCTCATATCAATTCTCAAATGCTGATGAATGACACATGTTATTTCTATATCAGTTCTCAAATGCTGATGTGTCACTCATATGGAGAGAGTTATCAACTTTTATATATAAGATATTATTTACAGGAATATCAAGAGGGAAACAATGAGTACTGAAATTTTAAATAACAATCTAAATATTCGTATAATAGATTACCAACCTGGACTGATAAGAGGCTCATGATGTGTCCATCATGATTCACAGCTTTGTGGTGGTCAAAGAAAGAGTGAACAATCAAAGGAACGTACTTGGGCCCCAAAACGTCTGCTACACATAAATCAGAAGTCGCATAGATAAATCCAGCACCAGGGCTATTGTTACATTCTACAAAAACTGAGTACGATTTTGGGACATCGGTTTTTAGCGTCGAGAGGCGACCAGCGAGAGGGTAGAAATGGACGAGCGTGATGGCTAGAGACTCTCTCAGTTTCTCGAGAAAAGTGTCAGTGGAATGAAGCAGCTTGTGAAAGAGGAGACCTTTCTGGATATATTGAACAGAGAGCATAGCGTAGTCCCATGGGGATAAATAGTATGGTTGCTTTGATTCTTCTGGGATTGTTTTGGGTTTCACAAAGCATTTTGAAACGATTTTTAATGGTGGAGAAGAATCCATTATGAAAGGTTTTAGCTCAGATTACTGAAGTATTAGTCTATTAGATCATGTGGCCTTCCATTGATGAATATAAGAGTAGTGAAGTATTAGGTCATGTGACCGTTTTGGTTGGAACTTGGAAATTTCTGTTTGTTTTTTTCTTGTTTGGAGTTTGTGGAAAGTTGGTGGGATTCTTTTTTTCAGAGACTTTGACCATAAAACATATCAAATTGTGATATTATATAAAATAGGATGCCATTGGATAAAATTACGTTTCTAAAAGAAACACATTAAGTCGATATTTTTTTTTTAATCATGTGAGACAAAATTAACTACCATAACTATGAAAATGTTATCCTATTTTGCAATTAAATATTAGGATATTATTATTTATTGCTTTTTTCCTTTCCATTAGTGATCACGTTAAGATGAGTTAGTGGGTTTACCATAATTTTTTAAAAATAAAAATATTTATATTAATAAATAAACCCGATACGGGGATAAGTGGATTTACAAACAAATAGAACCAAAAACAAAAAGCCAAACCACAAACCGGAAGAAAACTAGACAAAGCACGATTGGAGCACCGGAAAGAAAAACGATACCTGAAACCGTCCACGCCTTGCCGACCGTCTCCAAAAGCTTCTCCTCAATCCAGTCAAAAAATCAACACTATTTGGGCCGGTATGAACATGGAAATCACTCCTGTCGTCCTCGCCGGACACCAAATCAGCTGCCATAGTCATCAACAACCTCAAGGGGACTTTCTCGACAAGCGACACATGCCCACCAAACCCCTTCGACGGTTTCTTTTTCGAACGACATCGCAGAGCCACATCCCCTCTCCTTCGGCGGCTCACTACCGTTCTCCCACCGCAGACCTCAATCAGCCCGGATCCTGGAATAAGAACACCTCCGTTGGAAAAAAAATTCCAACCACAACCTTGAACTTTCGGCGGCTCACTACCTTTCACCCACCACAGACCTCCAGCAGCCCATATCTAGGAATTAGAGCACCTTTTTCAAGAGCTCCAACCACAACTTCTCTCCTACGGCATCTCACCGTTGTCCCACTGCAGTCCTCAAACGGCCCGGATCTTGGAATAAGCATATCTACGTTGATACGTTAGGCTGAAGCCACCATACGTCACGTCGAAGAGACTATCCACACCTCAGCGTCGCCGGAGAGAAAAAGCCAAAATTTCTTGTTCGCCTCGCTCACCACAGTCGCATTGAAGAACATAATATGGAGAGATCCTCTCGCGGCACCAACAGAAGACGCTGAATATCGGAGTCGATGCCTTGAGAAAGTTACCTTTGCTTTTTGAGAGAGAATAAGAACGATTGCGTGAATCTCACGTGCGCGACCTTCTATTTTCTGTTCGGGTTGACCATAATTATTAGTATGAGAAACAAATGCATTAATAAAACAAAACAATTCCAATATAAACAAATATAAAAAACAAGCATGGATTTAAGTATCGCAGAGTAAAAGGAAAGATAACATATTCATGGATCATTGGTTTTCAACGTTGGGTTGGAGGGAGGTTTCTCGGCAGGTACTCGGTCTCAGTGGCATCACTGTGGTCATAGTGGTGGAAGGAGATCTTCCCATGTGGTTGTCTTTTTCTCCATGTCTGCCTCGTCTCTCCGTCTGTAAGTCTTGTTTCCTCCATGTTGCTCTCCGTGTCCCTCACCGGCTGTCCCTCGGCTTTGATTCTCGAGCTCTCGTGCCAGTGGCATGTTTCTTTGACTTTTGCGGTGGTATGGTGGTGGGAGTTAGCCTTCTCCACTGAGTAAGGTCCATACCCAGCCTCTTTCTCTCAAGGATCTGAGGCAGAGGAGTGGGCGGTGATGACATTCTGATCTCCTCAGCTCTCAGGCGGTAGCGGAGTTGGAACTTGAGGACAGGTCTGATCGGTATCGCTGGGTGTTGTGGTTTAGGTTTTGTGGCTTGATAACACCCGATTTTTACCATTTTTGTGGATTACTTTTAATATCTTATATAGGTGTTTTAACTCCGTTTTCAATGTTTATTAAGACATATGGAAACTTAGACATATGGAGTGTATTTTAGAGCAAAAGTACATTTTTTTGGATAAATTCAGGCCGTCAGAAGTTTGATAACCAGTGAAGTCCTTCTCACCATATGAGCATCTCCAAAATTGGAGACAACATAGAGGAGACAACCAGCTTTCCAATGCAATTGGATTAGGCACAATCCAACGGTTAAATCCCAGATATCCACAATTCACTGAAGGCAGATCAACACAGTCCAAAAGGTGAAACAATTCTCAACCGCGGCCGGAGGAGCTTGCACCCTGGCTCCGACCTCCTCACCCGCGGTGGACATATTTTCGAGCCTTAAAAGTCCAACTCAAAGTCCAAGTCATTTCCTACACTTATTCTGCAAATCCTAGGCGCTCCCAAAGAGAGGAGAGCCTATAAATTCATTTTTTTTATTTTGTATTTTGTAATATTTTTTCTATTCTATTGTGTGTTCTTAGCATAAAAAAATATTTTTTTATATATTTTCTTATTTCAATTGAGATAAAATAAAAATAAATTTATACCCTAAATCACACACATTAGTCAATAAATAATTATTATATTTATATTATTAATAGCACTAAAACATATTTGACTCACTCGTTAGTTATTTGAAATTTGTTCCTTTTTATGTTCATGAACTCTTACCTAAAAGTTTATTAGTCTATTAGATTAGTAATGCTAATGATCCAAGATGTTCAACATACAACAGAACCTTCGACTTCTCAAAATCAGCATAGACACATTGTTTAATTTCTTCAGCAACAATTCGTCAGATACATGTTTTGGGGAAAAGAAAAATAAAATAGAATAATAAATTCATTTAATTGGGTTTTTGGGTGTTTATCTGAATTAAAACTATTTCTTATTTATTTTTAAATAAATTTGTAATTTTAACCTTGTCACAAAGTAGTAACAATTATATCATAATCTACGATCAAAATCAAAAGTCACTAAAATAGCAACTAACTAGGTAATAACCTGTGCCTTGCATGGTGTAAGATATTTATATATTTTTTTAATAATATCCATGTTTAAAATAAATACATGAACAATAAAAAATTAAATTTTGAAACAAATATATTATATTGGTGTAAACAAATATTATAATTAGGTAAAAAATTAAAATTTTGAAACAAAGGTTATAATTAGGTCAAAAATGCTACTTTTTAAAAACATGATAAGTAAAATGTTATGAAAGACATTTCTTCTTATATAGAGGCTAATCGTAGGGATCTCAAATATTTAATTATTTAATAAAAAATCAAACTTTTGAAAAATCAATTTTTTTTTGAAAATCTATTTCAATCATAAAGAAATAGTTTTCGTGCACATGATGTATATATATAATATTTTACTACACATGATTAAAGTTATTTAAAATAGAAATAATTTTATGAATTTTATATGAATGTTAATAGTATTATGATGAGTAATAATATGATTTTGTATTAGTATTGCAATTAAAAATATAAAATATGATTATAAGATTTTATTATTGGTTTTCATCTTGTTTTTTAATATAAATATAATTGTATAGTTAATAGTTTAACTGAAGAATTGATATATCTTATTACATAAAAATTTTAGTGATTTATATTGTTTTATTTTTCAAAATTCAGATTATCACATTTGCATAAAATATAAATTTATTATAGGTTTGATGTGATAATTAATCCATAAAAGAAAAGTAAACAAAGAGAATAAAAGAAATATAATGATTTAAAAATAACTCATATTATATAATTGAATAAGGATTGAATACAAGAAAATTATTAATATGTTATAATTAAATTTCAAATCTTTTTTATTCTATTTGATTGGCTAATAAATATGTTTTGAAATTAGTTATTAATTTCCGTGTGTCTAATTAAGAAAAAAAAGAATTTTTTTGAAAATTTATTTTTAATGATTAGTTTAATAAGATATATTTGATTCTCTAACCAAATTAATATGAGTGGTATTGATTGTAATTATTCTAGTAACATAAACCTTTAAAAAAAAAAAACTCTTGAAAAGCTTTGTGGAGGTGGCACCTCAACATAGCAAATTTGTTAATAACACTTGAGACAAAGATTATTTTAAAGTGTCCTTCTCAAATAATAATATAAGATTGTGACGATATATTTACAAAACATATGTAACTTTGAGTGACTTAAGTTTAGTCACAAAAATCATATAATGTAGTTACTAGATTTGGTCGCAAATCTGTAACAAATTTGTAAATATATATTTTATAGCAATCATATCACGATTAGTGACAAAAGTTTGTTACTTTTAGTTTGGTCACAATATTATGACGAAATGGTAACGATTTTATGACAAAATAATTTTGTCACGGTTTTGTATGAAAATCATAACAAAATTGTTACAAAAAAATTTAGTCACAACTTTTCGTAACAGTATGAGTGTGTTACCACTAGGTGTACTTTTGAGTTATCTAATGTCCAAAAAACGGACTTTTGTGTTTTAATTACCAAAAAACATACTTTTCTACTATTTGGAGGAGACAAATGACTGTTTTAACCATTTTGCTTACTTATCTATATTATTTCTTTATTTAATATTATATTAATATCACACACTCCCCATAATTGTTTGTTGTTATTTATCTATTATTTAAAAAATAATCGAGTAATTATTTTGACACTATAAATCATATAATTTTTTTAAAATATTTTGATACCCATTTTATATTTTTTAACTTAAATTTTTTCGTCGTTTAGTAATAAACACATAAATATCCATATAGTAGCGTCTACGTGGACACAAATATATGGATATCTATGCAATTATATAGATATATATGTATACACATACATATCCATATAATAGCGTACACGTGAACACACAATATATGGATATATATTGCATATCCACGTACATAGAGTATAAATAGATATAACTATATAGATACACATATATATATATATATATATGCCTATACATTCATATATTATAGATGGATGTAACTATATAAATATAT